TGCTTTGCCCTTTTCCGCTACCTTGGACATGTGTGCATTCCACGAGCAATCTTTTGCGATCTCTACTCCGAGGTATGTGTACTGGTCCACTACTGCAATCTCCTCGATCCCCCACTTCCATCTATGTTCTACTGGTTCCTCCCTGCCCTCGTTGCATACCATGACGGCACTCTTCGTAACGTTGGCAGACAATCTCCACTTATCAGTAAACTTCTTCGCCGCGTCAATTTGCAGTTGCAGTCCCTCAGGGGTGTCCGACATACCAACAAAGTCATCCGCAAACAGCATTCCTGACACCGAAGTTTCCGTGTCCCCTACTTTTACTCCCTTCCGGACTGCCTCTACGACTTCCAACAGATCGTTGATGAACACCTGGAACAATGTTGGGGACAGCGTGCAACCTTGTGGGACCCCCTGCTCGATGTCGAAGAATTTAGACAGTTCTCCGTCTAGCATGACCGCGCTTTTCGTACACTCTGTCATCTTCTTCAGCACCCTCCACATTTTCCCCTTGATCCCGTACTTGAACAATTGTTTCCACAGCCCATTTCTCCATACGGTATCGTATGTCTTTTTCACGTCCAGGAAGAAGCAGTACGTCCGCTTGCCCGCCCTCTTTCTACCTTGGATGATTCTCCCTACCGTGAATGCGTGGTCTACGCACCCCCTCTTCTGTCGGAAACCTGCCTGGCCCTCACTAATGCTACGTTTCTTCTCCAATACTCCCACTATCCTATCGTTCAGCAGCTTACAAAACACTTTTCCTACTGTGTTCAACAGTGTGATACCCCTGTAGTTTCCTGGGTCAGTCTTGTCTCCTTTCTTAAACAAGTTCACAACCACTCCTTCCCTCCATCTACTTGGTGCATACTCGTTTTTCCACACCCAGTTGTATAGCAGTACCATCAGCTGGATCATCCCCTTCCCCCCAAACTTCATGAACTCGTTTACTATCCCATCCGCCCCTGCTGCTTTGTGGCACTGCAGCTTGTTCACACACGCCTCAACCTCGTCCTCAGTGAACTCCTTTTCTAGTTCTACGTTCCCAACGTCTGCCTTCGATGTCTCTTCTTCTTTCTGGGCCCATGCGTCCACCTCCTCCTTAAACACTTGGTCAAAATCTTCATTCTCCGAAGGCACTCCAAGTCGCTTGTAGTGTCCTGCTAGAACTTCCCTTTTTCCCTTCCCACTGCTGACTAGTCCACCGTTCACACCTCGCAATGTTGCTACCCCTGTATCCCCCCCTTGCGCGGTCTTTTTTACCATCCCACTAATCCCTTCCCACATCTGCTTGACGTTCCCCTCCAGGCCTCCGTTGGCCTTCTGCACTACCTCGTCCCAAATGCTCTTTTTCTTCTTTTTCACTAGTCCCTTCACCTGTTTCCTCTTGGCCCTGTACTTTTCCCAACTCTCTTCAGACCCCTCACCCAGGTACTGCTTGAAGACTTCTCTACGTTCCCCTATTTCTTCTTTCAGCTCGTCATCCCG